CATTAAATTCAGAAGCATTATATGGCAATATTTAGCCAAGGTTATTCTGTCCTGTGTGAAAAATAATTTGCCAACTAATTCGCGCAGAGGATTCGTATACTCTTTATGAAGGCTTTGCACAAATTTCAAAAACAACGAAACAACCTGCTAATTTTCCTACCTTTATGGCGCGCGGTTCTAAATAAAAATTCTGGTTTCCGGAACATGAATAGCCACATGTACATTCGTCGGTTTAATGAACCCATTGTTAACAGTTTTAAGAGTTGGAAAATTGTCCCTCGCATAAACCGAAATATTATTTCACCTTCTTGCAATTAGTTTCATGGTATCACACAGTATTAACTAAGTATTATATATTAGCTCCACGGTTTTTTGAGTTTTCAATAAAAGATACTTCTGTTGGACAAAATAATAGAAACACCTCGTCTACTTACAATGTTTTTTTTATTAATAACGCGGTTATTAATAAAGTCTGCCATAGGTCTTCAGCTTGAATTCTTTTCGGAGTAGATTCATACAAATCTTGAATATTTAATAAGATATTACGCTTTTTATTGCATTTATATGCATTTCATTATATGAACCTTTTCAATCTCTTTCAGTGAGACCGAAACGTGTTTCAAACTTTGTTTTCGAGAATAGATGACTGTGTCGGCCAAGGAAGATGTTCGACTTTACTTGCATGTTCCTCAAACCAAGATTTTACAATTTACAACTGTATAGTAATTAAAAATTCTTTTACCTTCCGAAAATAATTATCTCACCTGTTGTGTGGGTTTGATTTGCCCGAGTTATTTAAATAATCGTTGGATTCGGACAATTGCAACAACGCAATACGCGTTTCACAGGTATTCCCTATTATTTTGTATGCGTTCACTTAAATTTTCCCAGAAGAATTCCGAAAGGATTCACAGAAATAATCATTAACAACACCTCCTTCTCTCGTCACGCATTGAAAATTGACTAATAATTAATCCCCTACGCGCCCGAGGGAGAGAATTCTTTCGAAAAACAATCCAGTACTCGCTATTTGCCAGTCGGTCGAAATGTAAATTTACAAAACCGTGCGAAGGGTGAGATCGCGTTAAAACCGGACGCTCCATTTATCTTCATTAGCCGCGAAGCACGGTTTAGATCAATCGGTGATTTCGTATGCATTGTTCTCCCCCTCCCCCCTCCATTCGTCCTCCCGCGGACTATCGATCCGCATTGGCAGTTTACTCGCCATCGGGAGAAATTGATCGTTTCGACGCGGATTCCTCTCGCGGAATCATGCCGTGTCAATTGATCGGTGTGCGCGCGAACATCACACCCGGGCCGATTATCTCCATGGAATTGGCCTGGCTGTTTTTAATCGAACGTGTAGCGAGCGCCGAGCGCGAAAATGACGATGGAATCGCGAATCAATAGCCGCGAGAATGGAGGTAAACGTTTGCGTTTGGTTAGCAGCAAGTGGCCGTTCCGCTTTGCCCTTTCCCTGTTTCACCTCTGTTGCACAACCGGCGATCGAATCAAGGCCTAACGACGAGCGACTTTCTATTATCGTTCGTTCCGGACGAGCGTTTACACTTTCGGCCCTTTCGTTATTATACCTATCGGAAGCCAGCGCGAGCTTGGAAATGAAAAATTGCCGATATCTCCGAGCAGCTTGCCAACTCCGTGAGAAAAAGTCGTAATAACAATACACTTGACCCCGTTCCGAGGCGCGCGGACCCTCTACTTTGACAATCCCGAAGTTCGTTGATGCTTTTACATTATGCAGCGGGTCTGGCGAAGGTAAAGTAAAGGTTTCTCGGAGCGTTGTAAAAATTCAAACGTCCCCGGGATCACTGAGAAAATTCCACCCGCGACCGTCGCCTCTCGACGAACGAAATCTCTTCTTCGCGACAACTCCTTAAAACTGATCGCACGATTCATTCTTCGCTGTTTTTATTGAAGTTAAACGACGGAAATTCGGCCGAAAATTCGATCGACGGGTGATCCGGACGATTTGGTTGCGCGATTTTAACGGTCGAAGTTCGGGTAACCACCTTGCGCTGGCAACTGGTTCGCGGACCATAACGAGCGACCGAATCGTATACAATAATTGGTCGCTTTCTTCTTCTTTTTGAATTCGTTGGCATGATACCGCCGGATATAAATTAGTAAGAAGTAACAAACTTATCATTTCTTTGGGTTTAAATAAATTTATTAATATATTTAATAAATAATAAATATATTTAAGTATATTTATTAATTATATACTTAAATATGTTTAAATATATTTATTAATTATATACTTAAATATATTTAAATACATTTATTAATTATAAATAAATATATATATATATTAAAATTATTTATTATAAAATATATTAAATAAATAATAAAAAGATGTATTGAATAATTTACTGTATTAAAATATATTAAAATTATTTATTATAAATAAATATATTTAAATATATTTATTAATTATATACCTAAATAATATATTTAAGTATATACTAGTATATATTAATTATATACTTAAATAATATATTTTAAATATATATACTTAAATTATATATTTCATATATTTAAAACTGAGCAAATGTTGCAATTTGGGACAAAAAGTTTTCGACGTGCGTGACACGTCATTTAACCAGCGCAAGAGGTTATAAATTGCGAAGAAAATTACCGACGACTCGCTTTCCCAATTACTCAGCGATGTTTAATACGATTTTAATCACGTCTAAATATACAAAGCCTCACGAAGCGAGGGACACGCAAGATGATCGCAGGTACAGTCGATTTTCGTGAAAATTGCTTGAGGGGTAGCTCGACTATGCTCGAGGAAATTTCACCCCGCGAGGAGACAGGTTTTGGAAAAGTTCTCGCGACAGGATAACACTGAAGTTTCAGTCCATCTCGAGATCGCCTTATCTGACACTGATCGTTATTGTATTACACGCTCTCCCGCCGCTTTTTCTTTCGTTTTCCACTCCCTGTTTTATTAGTTTAGAAACTCTCGTCCAGGGAAGTTGTCGGTAGTTGTTCCATGGGTGTTGGCGCTTCGCATTTTAAGAGATTGGCGGGATCGGCGCGAGTCGTTTAATGAATTAAAGAGACCGCTGAAAGTTTGATGTGAGCGGCGCATCAATCGTGCAAGCGTTTAGGAATAGATTTGTCTAGGAACTTGGCTTAACTGCAATAATTACTTGGATAAAGATTGTCGTTGCTAAGGTTGGAACTACTCCGAGTACGAGGTAACGTTGGTAGCGAGGAGTGAATTAAATTAACACGAGTTGCATTAATCCTGCTCGTTGCGTCTCGTTTACCCTTGGCTTCTAAAACGATTTTTCAAACGAAGGCTTTATCTTCGAGCTACTGCGAAGTAGTTTCGCCTCTACCCTTCTTCCCTTTTTTTCTTCCGTTTTGTTTTTTTCATTTTAACTTCTACAACTTTTACGATTTTTACTGTTCCCCGTGGCAATTTGCAAAATTGCATTGCGCTGCAATTTTCTATTCGTCTCGTATATATACGAGAGACGAAGAAATTCTATCGAGGAGAATTTCAATATAAGAGGCGGTTCAATTTTTCGAAATGGAAGTTTATAGAAAAGTCAATAAAAGTGTGATTCTCGAAGACGCCTTCTTATTTCTCACTTCTTCGCGTCTACCGAAATTGACTTGCAAAAATTGCGGCGCGAGTAAAGATAGAACGTACGAATTTCTCGCGCGGGATTCGCAATTTTCGTTTTTCGAAGCTTTATCTAATTTCGATAACAGAAAGGTTCGCCCCGGTATCGAGCATGGTTGGTTTCGCGTCCATGAAACTATAAAGGCTGGTTGGTAGTTGAATTTGCCGGTCGTAACGAACGAATTTCTTACGTAACGATCGATGGAACTCTTTTATACAGACGAGGTATCGATGAATTCAGGAGTGTATCGTGGGAGGGATCTTGAAGCGAAACATCCTTCTCTTTTTTTCCACTCGCTAGATTCGCAACAATGATGCTTTTTAAGTTTTGCGCACGAAAACTTACGCAATTCTTTCATAAAACGTATTTTCCAAGTGCTTTCTGACGGTTCGATGGAATCACATTGATCGAGTTATTTATTCGCGAACTGTAGCTAGATTCGTATTTCAGTTCGTATTTTTCACATTCGGTGAAAACCTATTTCGTTATTTTGCAGTTATTACTTCACAGCGGCTTCTATTTTTATTTTATTTACGTGGCGAATATTTTACACGTTGATCATTACTTTTAACAATTTTTAGTTATTTTTTTTATGAAAGACACAGCGTAGAAAAATTATTTAATTTCTTAAGTTGTATCATTAGTAGTTACATGATCTGGAAAATGAGAATTCTTATATTAGCAAAAATTATTATTATTTCTTAGCTAATTTATTCATTTTCAATTTCATATTCAGCCTCGGTAAACGAGAAAATATTTCTCATCTCTGTCGTTTTACACTCTGTCAGCATCGTAAAACAGTGTAATCTGTTTTATCGTGTAGCTCTCAAAATTTCACAAAAGAGACCGAATTTCTCAAAAGTCAATCTTATTTTACTGCAACATTGCAAAATATTTGTTTCCTCGTACACGTATTTCTCATTCGGACAAAAATAATCATTCGCAAGACTTTTTAACAAAGCGAGACTTTCAGTCTGCAAGATAAGACTTATTTGAAGATAATGATGCAACGTGTTTTATCAATTAATGCGAGACCGCGTTGAATATTTTATCCTACGATCGGTGTCATTAGTTTCTCGTCGTGGCACGTATTTTGTTGTAATTTCTGTGCAAAACGTATTTGAATATTAGGAGAATATAAGCGAGTGCTAGGAACGTGTGCAGCGGTCATGTCTTATGCGCTCGTTGAAGTCCCCAGATGTATTCACCGATCGAATCCGTCAAGCGTTGAAATCTTCGCTCTCGAATTGATAGGCGCGTCTCTACAAGGCGAGATAGCTTCGAGGGAGCAGAATCGTATTTAGAATTTAAAATTTCTCTCTTCTCTACAGTCTCGGCCTTATGTTTAGGAGATGTAGAGAAGAGAAGGACGTTCGAAAATTGCAATCTAAAGATTACTCTGCTTATATCAGGGGAATATGTCAGTATAGGTGTGGCTGCGAAGAAATCGGGGGTTAGTTTCTTAGAGTTTCTTCGTAATTCTCTTTAATATATAATATTAATGTTAATATTTTTTCGATATTAATATTAATATTTTTTTAATATTAATATTTAATATTTAATACATAATATTTTCTTACGAAAACAGTAGTTTATTTGAAAACTGTCGTAGAATTTTCCCAAATGTTGATCATATTCTTTGCGAAGAAGATTATTAGCGTAACGTTGTTTTTGTAACATTAATTTTATAAAATTATAAAATATAAATCTTATAAAATTATGAAATATAAATCTTATAAAATTATAAAATATAAATCTTATAAAATTGTAAAAATATAAATTTTATAAAACTAAAAATACAAAATGACATTAATTTTGCAAACTCTCTCTCATCTTTAGCTAATAAAATAAATAAAATTTTTGAAAAAGAAGAAAGATCCATAATCTAGCAATTGTGATCGATATTACATCTCTAAATTTATTTTAGAATATTCTACTTAAAGTAAAAAGTGAAGCAAGATTGGCCGAATACTAATATTCAATGACTTTGTATTTTTACACATTGCATTTATAATAAATATTTCGTTAAATAATATAGTTACAAATACTTTCTCATACTACTTTATAACTTAATGAATTTATTTCACGAAACGATGGTTTATCTAAAATTATCAAAATAATAAAATTTATACTTATTTAGTGTGAAGTATCAGATGTACATAGATTTATCTAATATATATAATATAAAATGTAAAATAATATAATATATAAAAGAATCTATGCGCAGGAGGAAATATCATGCTAGTTTCCCAAGCGAGACAATGCCAGCCGTACAATTTTTAATGCGATTTACGGGCTCATATTTCGGCAGTAAATATCGATTATCGAAGCAAGTTTTCAGCCATGGTGAACCGCAGTATGTCGAGTTTCACAAATCTATGTGACGTATGGCGCGCGAAATGGAGCCATAACACAATATATTAAAGAAGTATGATCATAATCGCTCGAGAATCTAGTTCAAAGCGTGTATAATCAGTTTAACATGAATTTGGTCGCGCAACTGAATTCGAAATGGAAAACACGATGCAATATTTAATTTTGGAAATTGCATTCGACGTTGTAACTTTTGAAGTTTAAAAGGATTCTTTACCAATTGTAATTTATACAACGAACTTTATCATTTTCATATTTTTAACTTGTCCGCTATTTTTCGGATATTTTAGAATATGCGAAATGTTTCGTCCACGATACTGTGGAAGTTCACCATGATAACAACATTTCTTGACTTGACATTTAATTCAATTTGGAAATCAATTTTTCTTTTTACGAGGGATTCATTAATACCTGATCTAATTTTCATTTTGTTTTCAACTCCCAGTTAGAATTGGTATTATCAAAATCTTGTTTTATTAATAATGGTATAAACTAATCATTCTAGAAATGACGGTGGATACGTTAATGAAGTCTAGCTGAAACAATTACCTATTAAATTGAGCGTGTAATTTGCATGATATTTAATTATTCCTGTGCAATGATTAACTAAACTTCGTGTTGTTGCTCCGAAACATTTTCGTCAGCTATATTATAACACACTCGTTCAAAACGTCCAATTATTTATTTGCCAAAGTTCAAGCAAATCAGAATTAAATAACGGAATGACGGTATTCATGAAAATTATACCAAGGAATTTCTTACCCAACGTACAAACACGCAGACCCTCGTGTTTCTACCGAGATTACAGAATTCATTACGCCTTCTACTACCATCGTTCTTTCACAGTCCGGAGAACTTTGAAACCAATTGCAATTTCAAAAA